CTTCAAGGTTTGGGCTAGATTGTATGAAGTTTAACTTTATGGCTCTGTTTCCGTCCACGACAGGCACGCAGACGGTTCGTGTGGGCAGGATCGAACTGGAGTCAGTTGTTCCAAACTCTCAGCCAGAGACGTTCATCAATGTCAGAGGTCAGTCCCTGAGAGAGTTATGATAAGGATTTATAATGAGCCTAGGAGAAAGGACTGACTCTTGATTCTTCCTCTCCACTCTAGGTAATGTGTTGGCAGACAGCATTGATAACTCCATCAGTGAGGACTCACTGGCCTCTCTGATCCACATGCCCGGTGGCTGTGTGGAGCAAAACTTGGCCAGCATGACTCTGCCACTCATCGCTACCCTCTACCTGGAGCGAACCAACAGCTGGGAGACTGTGGGGGTGGAGCGCAAGGCTGAGGCTCTCCGATACATCAGGAGAGGTGAGAGAGATGCAAAGAACCCATGGATAAAAGGATGGAGGGACAAAGGGTATTCCCAAAAAAGTAAAGATGATGCATGATTGAGGGCCATTTAAATGAGTGGATACAAATTAAATGAAAAGAATAAATAAATTGAAAGGACTGCTGCATGTACAATGAATGGATGGATGGTTGGATGGATGGATGAAATAATTTTGAATATTTATTGATTTGCTGGTGTATGTGAGTAAATGCATGGGTGGGTGAATTGTTGATGGATCATATCGAAATGTGGAGGGATGGGTGAATAAGCACACGGATTGTTGGATGGATGGACGAATGGATGCATAGTTGAGTACATTTATGGATGGAGAGCTAGCTACAGCAGGGATGGATGAAAAATTGATGGAAGAATTGATGTATAGTTAGAAACATGGGAGCAAACATGCTGGGTATTACACTACAGGCCACATTCACTTTTGTTATATTACTATTGTTAAAATCACTCCTTCACATCCCCTCTTTAAATGCTTCAATGTTGTGTTTTCAGGCTATGAGAACCAGTTGGCATACAGAAAAAGTGATGGATCTTACCCCCCCTACAGGAGGGAAGGTGCAAGTACATGGTACTGTCAGAACTGTACATTTTACATATTTAGCTAAGTCTCTAACCCGTGAGATTTTCTAACAAAATCAGGTGGACAGTGACTTCAGTTACGGTGATGATATGTTGGATTTTCTTAATCGATCTGAGATGTGTTACAGTTTTTTGTAACAACATGCATTAATGCGTCACGCATTAAGACATCAGATTTAAAAAAAGGAGCCAATGTAATATTTAAGAGGTTTGAATGCATGCACTGTGCCACATTCTGAAATTAAATTGAGAAAGATTGTAGAACAGCAGTTAAAAAGTCAGTATGTATTGATATACGTATTCATTTCCTTGTTACTTCATCTGTTAAATAGTGTAAGTTAGATAGTGTGTGTTAAAAAGTGCTCAAATGTAGGCTAATCTCAGTCCACCTGAATGTCAGGATCACGGCGTACGTGGTGAAAGTTTTCTCCATGGCTCACTCCATCGTCGGCATCAGTGAGCAGCAAGTGTGCGACCCCCTGCTCTACCTAGTGAAGAACAAACAACAACATGGGGGGAACTTCGTAGAAAGCAACCCAGTTTACAGCACTACCATGACTGTAAGAGACACACACACACACACACACACACACACACACCACGTCATGTATCAGATTTTTTTTTTTCACAGGTTTTTTTCCTCTTTCTCTCCCCTTGGTCCCTCCATCCTTTCCACTCTCAATAACAAAATATCAAAATACTCTATAATGAAAGCACAACTGTAGTTTTGGATCCATTGTTGCTTGATGGTGCTGTTCAGTTTCAGTCTGACACCTTTTCAGCAAATAAAACTTCAACATTGATTGTGACTTCTTCAGGATCTTTTTAGAGCTGCCATTTTTCATCAAAAGTAAACCCTCATACAGGACGAACTCAGTCCTAGAAGACACACAGAAACAAATGTGTCATTCTGCTTCAATAGACCAGAATGCAATGAATCTTTGAAAGGCATTTTGGGAAAAGTTTATAAAAAAATGTTGATACTGATTTACAGACATTGGAATGAACTGGTGTTGTGTATCCAATGGTGTTTTTTTCTCTCTCTTTTCAAGATTTTAATAAAAAATACTCTTTTTTTGTGTGTGTGTTTCCAGGGCGGTCTCCGTGGCGATGACCCTGGGGTGACCCTAACAGCCTTCGTCCTCATAGCGCTCGCTGAGGCCAGGCAGGCCGGGATCTCCTGCAGTGATCCAAACGTGGACACAGACGTAATTCATACAACAATCTGAAAAATTAATTTTATATGCTCTGTTTGAGAAGTGTCCTGAGATAAGCTTTGCTATGATTTGGCATAATATAATAATAATAATAATAATAATAATAATAATAATAAAAAAATAAATAATAATAATACATTTAATTTATAGAGCGCTTTTCAAGTAACTCAAAGACACTTCACATGAGTTAAAAAGGAAAAGGAAAAAGAAAAAGAAAAGAACTAAATAAAATGGAAATGAACTGAAAATCTGCAGAGTTGGCTGTGTCAAGCAGTTAAATTGCATCTTTAATCAAATGTTATTTGTGACCTGTAAACCACTTTTGTGCGTCACTGCTATAGGGAGTTATCCATAAGACAGCTGAATACCTGAAGAGATCACTGGTGATGAGCGGGAGGAGACCGTACACCGTGGCCATTGCCTCGTATGCGCTGGCTCTGGCGGGGAAGGCACCGCGCTATGACCCGACACAAGCTTTACTCAGAGCTGCAGCTCGAGGTATCCTGTAAACTCAGGCTTGTTTCATTTGTACAGTACAGAGAAACTTACATCAAGTTACTCATTTCCCCTTTATATAACTGTTTGACTCACTTTATATTTTGTCAAATGTCAGATCTGTTATGAACAAAAACAATGTGTTAAAGCTGACATATTAGTGCCATATTTTCCATTCCTCCTTTACTGTATCCCACTTTTTTCTCTATTCCCTTTAGGCACATTGCAGATGCTCTTATTTATTACAGATACCAGAAATATCCAAATGATGCTGTCAATCTGGAAGTAGCTGGAGAGTTTATTTTGATAACTTGTGAACTGTCCTCCAGGTGGCAGCCACTGGCCCGACAGTAAGAACACCTTGTTCACGCTGGAGGGGACCGGGTACGCCCTGCTGGCTCTGATCAAGTTGCGACACATGAGGGAAGCTGCAGCTCCGTTTAAATGGCTGAACAGCCAGCGGAGGAGAGGAGGAGGCTTTGGCTCCACTCAGGTAACTGCGGGGCGAGTCTCAGCTCAGCTCAGCTGTAATCTATTAATCCAGCGATTTATAACTCGTCTTTGCCTACACGGTTGACTGTCTGTTACATTATGGTGAGGCAGAAGTTTATTCAAGACCATTCAGATTACGGAGACCAAGCCTTGTGGACCACAGTTCTGTTGATGGAGTGAAGGATATGAATTTGTACATTGTCAATCTATATACAGTAAATATACAGCCTACACTCAGTTTCCAGTTTGTTAGGTAACATCTATGAAATGAGTACAGTCCTACAATAAATAGAAGCTACATAAGTTATAATATTCAGTTTTTGTCGAAACAGTTTAAGAGAAGTGTTGTAAGATCATTTTGGAGGATGTTGAACTGTATTGCATTATACAGAGAGGTGTTGTTGTGAGGTGCAACTCACTGTCTTCAGTATATTATGATGCAGTTAACCAGAACCTGTGTTCCTAACAGGATTTGTGAGCTTTTTGAATAGCAAAGTATTTTACAGTTGAAGCCACACTATTTCACTGAAGATGAACCTTTTAAAAATGAAATCTACTACTGTCTTTATTATCAATTTTCTGTTTCGCTTCTCTATCCCCCCTCAGTCCACCATGGTGGTGCTCCAGGCGCTGTCAGAGTACCTGATTAACAGACCTCCTCCTGGTGACCTCAGTCTGGATGTGGACGTCAGGATGACAGGACGCAAGGAAATCCGCTACCATTTCAACCCGGAGACCGCCTATGCTGCTCGCTCTTCCAGGGTGAGAGACTTAAACATTTCGGGATTTAAAAATGCTACTGGGTGCAATTTTTACAAAAAAAGAAAAATCTTTTGTTTCGTAGCTGCCTGCTAATGTTGATCTGGAAGTGGAGGCTCAAGGGAATGGACAGGGTATACTGGAGGTACGCTCACATTTCTATGCATATGCACATATACATGAATGGAATCAAAGGTGCAATCACATGACAGGTTGTAAATGAAGAGTGGTATCATTCAGTTAGTTTTGTAACTTGTAAAATCCATTCAAAATGCAATTAATAAATACAGCACGATTTTCTTTTTAAGTGGCTTAATTCTTTATATGGCTTTTTTATATGGAGTTTTTTTTACACTTACTGTTTCTCTTGTATCTCTCTTTTGTTTTACATGTTGTGTGCCGTCCTGTTACTTGAACTTTGACATAAGGTTGTGACTTATTACAACCAGCTGCATGAGGTGGATGAGAAAATGCCCTGCAAAGACTTTGAGCTCAGTGTCAATATTGAAGAATCCAGCGGTAACTCAAGTTATTCCTCTGTCTCATATATGAGTGATGTCTCTTTCTTCAGTGTTGTTGTTTTCTGTCCTCTTACTTTAGGTCAAATTAAGTCACGTTTACAGCTTTAAAGGAATGAAACACTGTACATCTTCTCTTGGATTGTTCCATTTCCTTGATATGTTGAAACGTGACATAATTACAACAATATATAACAAACAGAGAAAAGTAACAATTGATATTTGATTGATATTTTTAATGGAAGTCATCATCTTACATAACAACATAAAACATAACATTTAAAATATTAGTAAGTGTTAGTAAGCAAATGTACTAAACTAAAATTATAAAGTGATTTTTGAAATAAAAAAGATGATATTAACAAAAATAAATAAGTAAAACAAATGTAAAAACAAATAAATACATTCATGCAGTTTAAGATATTCTTTGTAACATATCACAACACACCTTCAATGACCTTATATACATTATTACTTGATTATTACAGTAGTAACATAAGAATAAAATAACATACTGTGCCATAACTGATTAAGATAAAGTATTATATACATTATGTCTGTAGGATAAGAAACCCAACCTCTGTAAATTTTTCTTTGTTTCTGTGACATAATAGAAAAGCCTCCAGCAGATGTAGAAAAATCCTACCAGATCACCATCAAAGTGAGGTGAGTTATGTTTAACCCTTTCAACATTTAAGTTTGCTTTACTTACTTAAATTTTCATTTTAAGGTCCAGCTGATATTCTGCTAACAACCTCTTTCATTTAGTATTCTGTATCAGTGCTGGTCTCTTTCTGTCCCACAGGGCTTTAGGGCCCAGAGATGTCAGGATGGTGGTTCTGGATATAAGTCTGCCCACTGGCTTCACCCCAGAAAACTCAGACCTGGAGATGGTAAACAGTCTCCTTTGCAATTCTGGTCTTAATCTTAAAGGTTATACAGTATATATGACATTCACTGCCACTAGATGAGTGTGAGGTCATTTTCTGTTGAGGACACCTTTACTCCACTATATCTTTACATAGCAAGTTATTTGCTGCTATATTCATATTCTAAATCTTGCATATATAAAATCCTTAATGAGTAAATGTGGGCTGTGTAGTTTTACTGATGTGCAATAGTGAAGATGAGACTGGTCGAATGTTTGGGCCACGGTTGCTAACTGATTCTGTATGTGTGTGTTTGTCCAGTTGTCTAACTCAGTGGACCGATACATCAATAACTTCCAGATTGTTGATAACCTGAGTGACAGAGGCTCTCTGATCATCCACCTGTTCAAGGTAAAATGACTACAGAGACAAGTCAGATTTACGTGTTTGACTGGCTGCTTCATGTCATTGACTTCAAATTCTAGGTTGTCCTTTCAAGAAGCAGGTTTGCTGAATTATCTGGATCTAGATTGTAAGCAGCACTGTCACACAGATAACTCTGTAAATCAGCTTCTTGGACCAGGACCTCATATTTGGGGAGCTCCGGCTTGCTAAATTAATTCTCACTGGCTCTGTAATGTTTATGCTTCTCTTCAATGTTGCACTAAATTATCCTCCCATGGCCTTCTCTCAGGTGTCTCACAGAGAGCCAGAGATCCTGATCTTCAGGCTTCAGCAGAGCTTCAAAGTTGGCCTCCTCCAGCCATCCTCGGTTACTGTCTATGAGTATTACAACCCAGGTAGGAGAGCACATGTGGTGGAAGTGGAAGTGGAAGTGGAAAGGCTTCACTAACATTTCAAACAATGGTGTCATTGTAGATCAGTCTTTAGTCCCACCTTCTTTCCTCTGAGCTGGTTAAGACCCACTGCAGACTACCTCATTATGAAACATTCCATAAATTGTTCACTACCAAAACATCTTAAACATCAGTGAAAACCCAATCTGAGACTTGGCCCTCACCACGCATAGTGACGATGTAGAATGCGTCCCGTTTATTTATTGTAATATTAACAAATAATATTGCAGCTTTCAATATGATGGTGACAGGTGTCATACCTCTGCTCTCTCTCTCTTTGCCACAGATCACCGCTGCAGTCGTACCTACTCTCCCAGGGAGGACAAAGAGGGGCTCACTCAGATCTGCAGGGACAATGTCTGCCGCTGCACACAGGGTGAAGAGTGCATGAGTCTGCAACAGTGCATCAGTGGATGTGTATGTTGAAGGCGTCAGTTATTTTCAAAGTATTTTTTTATTTTCTCCTAATCTCCAGGTGACTGCTGTGTCGCCAAAACCGATGATGAAAACTTCTCCAACAAAGAACGGGAGACATTTGCCTGCAAGAGTTTACACCACGGTACGATACACTGTCACACACTCATATCTTTAACATATATGCAGTCTCAAGTCTTTATTGGGTTATTGCAGGTCAAATGCTTCTATAATATCTATACCTTGAATGATTACAGTAACATTAATGAGAGAATAATATGAGATTAACTTTGCAATTAGTATTTTATAGAAATGACTAACAGCTCTTTAGCAATCAAGAACATAAACAAATAAGAAAGGTGTCTGGGAAAATGAAACTGAAATGGTGGAAATTGTCAAGCTACCTATTCGTGGGAATTCATTGATTTGCTGGTAGGATTAGTGATAAGACAATATCTTTATTATTATGCTGTATTAGTAAAGTTTGCAGCATAGGATGCACTATTTCTTGTATACATTTAAAATATTTGACCCCGTTGTAATGATAGAAGCCCGGTTAGGTTAACAGCAAAAAAATTAGGGTTCATCCTCTCTGTACCATAAACTTCATTAAAAAAATGTCATGGTGTCATAACCACAGGCCTAATTACAAATGGTGTAAAGATTATACATTTCTTCTTGGGCCTCAGTTTTCCAGGTGAAGGTGCTGAATGTCAGTCAGAGTTATTACGACAAATACGAGATGGAGATCACACAAGTTATCAAACTGGGTAAGTCAATGCAATGGATGTGTGTCTTTTATGGTTATCTGCCTTTTTTTCAAAATAAATCAGCTGATACAAATCTCAGTAGTAGAATGCTACTACCTAAGATACTTAATACAATGAAGAATTTTCAAACAAATAGCATTGCAATAGACTAGTATGTAATCCAAATAACTTGTCAGATGGACACATATTGACACATGTTGTATTTTAAGCTCTATTTTCTAGTGCAGCTATATATTCTCTGAATCCCATCCTCCTTCCATCCAGGTGTGGAGTCTGGAGTTGAAGTGGGCCAGAAAAGGTTGTTCATGTCTCATGGAGGCTGCAGAGATGGACTCAGCCTGAAGCAGGGCTCCCAGTACCTCATCATCGGCCCCAAAGAGGACCAGTGGAACATTGATACTGACAGCAACAGGTACGAAGAGCAAGAAAAAAATAAATATACATGTCACAAAAAAATTATAAAACAATGCCGATTTTGGAAGGTCAGGTTTAATTTCAGCGCAGTTATGCTCAGGTAATCACTTTTATCAAGTGCATATAAATTACCAAAGTATGAGAAATTGGGATTCTTGCAGTCTAGTTCACAAGAACTAGAAACTGAAACTAAGAAGTGCTTTTAACACCTTTATTCATTGTAAAAACTACCAACCTTAGTAAGGTAACAAACTAACAAACTCTGGCTTAAAGAGGCTACTTTATTTTCATTTTACTGTTAGAAGAAGGAAACCCTAAAGATTCCAGCTTGCATTCAATCAAAAGGTTAATAGGAATAGATACATTTAATTACACTGGTGATTTTAATTAAACTGTTGTGAAAGATGCAGCATAACCATTTTGAGACAAGGTGCAGAAACAGTCTTCTGATCTATTAAAACACAACCTAAACCCCAGTTTTCTATCCCTTTTTGCTCCCTGTCTGTCAGACTCATCTACATGTTAGGAAAGGACACCTGGGTGGAACGCTGGCCTTCATCTGCAGAGTGCTCCAGCAATCCCAGCCTGCAGGCAAAATGCAAGGGCCTCAGTGATAATGCACATGAACTGTCTGTCAACGCCTGCAGCCTGTAGAGGGTTTTAAGCAGCAACTGCATACCATCCTCCTCCTGTGCCATTTTGGTGCAAAGATGGCAAATAACGGTGCACACAAAGATTCACTGATCACTTTCACTCAGCCATTGCAATAAGGACATAAAAGTAGATGTGTTTTCACTGTGGAAAAAAGAACTGAAAGTAGAGCTAGATATAGTAATACACCCACAAAGTTTGTTTGTTTCTACTGTAAGGATATAATAAGAATGAGGAAGAACTAAATACATCTAGCAGCAAAAAAAAAGAGAAGTGCACCAAGCAGCAAGGGTATTGTAGCTTTTATATAATGGTTCAAATACAAAACAATATAGTGAATGTTTCAGAATGTCTACTGTCTAACATGAGCTAAAATCAAATGCATTGTTAAGAAAAGGGTTTAATTCAACATACTGTAGCAAAAGACATCATCATCTTTAAATTTTTACAGTTCAAGTTAAAAGTGAAAAATGCCCCTCGAGGAGCCCAGTTCCCTCCACATAACAATCAATTGTAGCAAGTTATCTATCTGCTGGGATTTAAACAACAAGTCTTCCAAAGAACAGGGCAACCACTAATTTAAATACTCTTCAGGAAATATGCAATACATGTGCAATTCCAACCTGTGTTTGATAATAAATAATTATAACATAAATCATTCTAAATGTTTAAGTTTGTAAATTGGGCTTAAAATGTACAGTTGTCTCAATGTTGCATTCTCTCATGACAGATCTGTCTTAAGATATATATTAAATACCTGCTTAAATAAACAAACTACTTGATATTAATACCAGGCTGGTATGCTGAACAGGTTTTGTTGATTGTGCTGTACAATGCATCTGAATCCTCCCCAGCTGACGTCTGACCTCTAGTTTTGAAAGGGAAAAAAATATTTTTTTTCTGCACACAAGAATTGAAATGATACAAATGGCAACAGTTATGATATTGTTTGAATACAAAAATAATTATTAACTGTTTCAAACTAATGCAATTTTGTTGATGAAGGACAAAGGGAGACCAGCTGCTCACCTCAAAGCAGTACTGCAACTGGTAAATTTGACGGAAGTGTACTCAACACCCTCGTCTTCGTCCTCCTCGTGTCTGAGGGTCTGAGTTAGTCCGATGTTGGAGTAGAGAGGATCTGTATGGTTCTTGGAGAACTGGAAACTGGCATAGTGAAGCTCATCCTGCCTGTCATCCAGCTGTGTCTGAGTGGTAGATATTGCATAAAGAATGATTATTCATTTTAGGGTTGTATGATTTTTACAGAAAACCAAAAGCAACCAGAGTGCTGTTACTGTTGTTGCACAGGACTATGTGAAGTTCATAGACCAGCCAGATCCCCCCTTAAAACAATCTTGGGTTGTATAACTTCTTGTTTGTGATCCTGACATTTTTCACTGTTTATCTGGGTTTAGTCACAGTGGTAGCTAAAGTAGCTAAGCAGAAGCCCAGATATCCTTTTACCCAGCCAAGTCCTGTGTTTCCTGGTGGATATGTTATCCCTCTATTATGTTTTGCGTCTGCTCCAACATCTCATCCCAGCTGTCTGTGCCCAAATTGGTACATACAAGTCTGCTCAGACCTCTACGTCAACAATCTAAACTGCTAACAGTGTGTGCTGAGGATTATTAAACATTAAATATTGTTCCTGAAAGACACACACTGCAATACAGTTGGTGAAATTGGATCACGTCCAGGAAGGTAAACATTAATAACACCTTCATATTGTCATGGATGACCAACATGACTAGCAACCACCAAAATACAAAAGGTTTTGAATGTATTGCAAAATCCATGTCGTGAAAAAAAGAAGATCAAAGAAGGGAACGGATGATAGAGGGGAGGACATGGTTTCTTTGTGAAAATGAGCCAGTGACCCAGATGGCGGCTAGCATGGACGCAGTGGCCCCTCAGGGTCCAACCATAGGACCGCGAGACACAATATTTCATTCCTGTGTACTCTGTGTTCTGTATGTGGAAATTACAACATTGAACCTTAAACCAGTCTGAATTGACCTGTTAAAACAGAGTGAATTTCTTTTGCACTGGAATTGTTTAACTCTTCATCCTCACCTGATCCCTGTTATCTGGTCTCTCTTCAGGCTTCAGTGATTGCTTGGAGACCCACTTTTTTCTGGTAAGGACAATTAAAAAAAAAAACCTTAATGAATAACTCTAACCCTTAACTCTGACAAACTGACTGCTAAAAGGATTTAATGTTATTAGTAATTTAATAAATGGGAAATGCTTTTTTTGCAGTTTTGGTCATCGTCCTTTTTGGTAATAGTAACAGTATAAAAGTTAATTGCTAATATCTGAAGTACAGTCAACAAAGGTCTCAAACAAACCTCCTGGTTACCCAAACATATTTGGAAATAATATTAAGGAAAATGTTCATTGATGTCCCCCAGTGTTTCCACATTACTTTGGTGACTACAGTATTGCCATAATTTGACTTTAATAAACAATGATTTCACAAAGGTAAACTGCTTACCTAAACAATATGAAAAGAGAGAGGAGGATAAGAGCCAGGACAACAGCAGTGGTTGTTCCAGCGGCTGTAGATTTCCATGCTCCTAGGCAGTGGTGATACAATGCCAACAAGGACAGTTAATTAGGCTGTTACAAGATGTTTAGGCCCACTGGCCTCAAAGAGAGATTAGAAAATGACAGTACAAGAATCCTGGCTGCCCTAAGACAAATAGTTGAGGTCTTCACTGGTCAAAAATATGTAACCTGATCAGACCTCTGGGAAACCTTCCCAATCCTCAATCCTCAAAATCCAATGTCATGTACACTATACAAGTTAAAACGTTATCTTTTTTACTTTACTGTGATCAATAATCCATATGTATTAGGGCCCACATGTCTATATGTTTTCTAAAAACTCAGGTTTCCTTGTCAAAACTAAAACACATGGCAGGTGTTTTCAGATGTCTTTACTGTGGAGACCATTCCACATTTTTCATCATCATCATCATATTATTCTTAATCTTCTTATCTCTGCTGCAGTGTGTGCAGGTGAATGGAAACTTACCTGCTACAACAATCAGATGTAAGGTGGAGTTATGGCGTCCTCTTCTGTTCTGGGCTTCACA